TCATGTCATTTGAAATTTGATTCCCATATATATATATTATATTAATATACAAAATACACATATTAACACCTTTGATCACGTGTGTTCAGGCTTTAATCCACTCCTTTTGCAGAAGAAAAAGAGAAAACGAATTCAGCGCCTCGAGTGTAAATGAGTCACTGATTTCAGCGCTATTGATAAATAAAGAAGCAATGATGGCTGAAGAGGCGATTTATAATGAAGAAGCCACCATACGAGAAGAATAAGATGGATGGTGGATTTTGAAGGCAGCAGCTCGCACGGTGAATGCCAATTTGTAGCTCGATGTATCTAAGTTCCTGTTGGGTCCCATTTTTTAAAACTCATTTTGTTCTCAAACCTATTTTCGACCAAACATTCTCCCAATGAAATAATTTTTCACGTGGACATATGACTTTTCTCTACTTTTAATTACACATTCTCCAAAAAATCAATTTTACAAAATTTATTCCCATAAAATATCTATCAAAAAAGGGCTAAATTTTCATATTAGGGTTTGAGCGTTGAAGATGAAAACGATGGTAGATTCTACAACCGGTGTTGGAGGTGTGGCGTTGTTAGGGTGCTAGGTTTTTGGGTTGTGGTCAATGGTGCTCGGACTTGACTATAAACATAAATTTATTATATTTCATGAGAAGTATTGGGCATAATTTGCACTAAAATAAAAGGAATAAATATTATTAAATATTTCATGAGGTTAAATATCATTAAGATTAGAAAGTGGGACATATTTCAATCTTTTTAATCAGAAAAGGAGTAAATTGTCAATTTATCACTAATAATTATCTCAGTTCACTTAACTCTTTTCAATCCTAGCCCAAACCTTGAACTGACGACCTTGGACCTTCTTGACAAGCTAGAGTAGCCCACAAATTATTCAACCAAGTGATCCATGACTAATTTGAGAATGGGAATTCATAATTAAAAGGTTAAGAATAAAGGTTTCAAATTTAAAAAATCAGACATTTATATTAATTTATTTATGATTTAATTAATTAGTTAAATATATTAAAGTCACATGTCTATATAATTTGGTCACTAATTAACAATTTAGTTCGTCACATATTATTTTTCAATCACAAATCATAATTTTATGTCACAACTTATTTTATGGTCACAACTCAAATATTTTATATATCACAGTTTGTTCATTAGTCACAAATTAAAAATTTATAAGTCACAATTTATTTATCGATCACAGAAATTATAAGTCACAACTTATTTTACAGTCGCAAAGTGACTATTTTTTAGGTCACGCATTATTTCTTGATCACAATTTACCTTTTTCATTGACCATATATCATTTATTGGTCACAAGTCATCGGACACATTAATCACAAAATGAAAAATCACTGTGGACTTAAAATAACTAGTCAAAAATGACTACTTAAAATGGATATAATAATTCTACTTAAATAAAATTCTATTTAGCATCAATTAAGACACGTCTGGTTTGAATAATTAAGAATATTTCAAGCCCCGCTAGATGCTTAATCATGGATTTACCCGTGGCGCCTAATCGATATCAGTCTTAATTCTGCAATATTGAATTGCTGCAGGGAAATTGAAGCAATTCTCAACTTTATGTCATCACATTTTATCTCCCTAATCTTCAAATAATTTTTTACACTGCATGAATTGATTGAAAATCCTTCCAAAAAAAAATAAATAAATAAAATAAAAACTGAAGTTCTTTGTCCCCTACTTTAATATTGTGTGTTAAAAATATGTATAGATAGAGAGTGTTTTTATGAGAGAATTAGAGGGGACAAAAGAAGGTTCTATACTGAGAAAATCCTTAATAGAAAATGAAAATGTAAAATTGTAGATAGAGAAAGAGAGAGAGTTAGAGGAGTAAAAGGAAAGAGGGAAACAGAATCCAATGTATTTGGGAATGCAAATACTAAATATCTGTGAATCTATCTATCTTTTTGCGTTGGAGTGAGTGCAATGCAATGGCTCTAATCATTTTACTATAATAAAATGTCTGCCTTACAGAACAAAGTAAAACCCTAATAGCAAAATAATGTATATATTTGCATGAAAGAAGTAATTCCATGACGCAGTGATGGAACTTTGGCCATGTAAAGTTAGAAGCTTCATCGATATTTGAACACATTAGAGTGAGTTTTACTCTCCTTATTCCTTATTCCTTCTCCCTTTAACTTTTTTCTTTCCATAACTCTCTCTCTCTCTCTCTCTCTCTCTCTCTCTCTCTCTCTCTCTCTCTCTCTCTCTCTCTCTCTCTCTCTCTCTCTCTCTCTCTCTCTCTCTCTCTCTCTCTCTCTCTCTCTCTCTCTCTCTCTCTCTCTCTCTCTCTCTCTCTCTCTCTCTCTCTCTCTCTCTCTCTCTCTCTCTCTCTCTCTCTCTCTCTCTCTCTCGTGGTTCAATTTACATTCCACCTGCAACAAATAAAGGTTGTCATTCCATGTCTCACCGCCTCCTTAATATAAGCCCTTCTCACCGGCTTTTCTACCATAACAATTGACAATTCACAAATCAAAACCCCAACCACAAGGGCTTTTCTTTTCTTTTTTTTTGCTTTTTTTTAATGGGGAACTTATAAGTAAGTCTTATTCTTGATGAACTTGAAGTATGAGTAGTTGAAATTTTTACTAATTAAGCTCATGTTTGTTGGGTATTATTATAAGATTTTTAGTAGATTTTAATAAAAGTTGAAAAAATATGTGATTAAAAAGTGCGGGTCCAATAAAACATCATGTTAAAATTAGTTATTGACTTTGACTTACATTAAAATCTGAATTTCATTTTTACCAAACAAGTGTTGAATGGAATGTTTATTAGCTTTATAAGAATCGGGTAAGACTTAAATGGCGAGTTTAACGCAAAAATCAGGAATATTATTAGAAGTATAACTTGATCACATCTAAAATGCATATATTTAAAAATCGTGCGTGAGTTATTCGGGAGTAGTATTTGTCATTGATAAATTAGCATAAAATAAATATGAAAATATTAAAAGAGAGAGAGAGATTTGGACTACTCTTCTTAATAAGTTTTATCTTTTAAGATGAAATATCAAACTCTATTACGGTATTAGAACTCATTGAACTCTGAGAAAATTCAATCCAATTAAAATTCAAATAAGCATTCGAATTTTAAAATTGAATTACTCAAATGAGCCACCACCATATAGGAATAGGTTAAAAAATAAATCCTACATTGAATAAATATAAAATAATAATCAACGTAAAGATTTGTCTACATTCTTTACAAGGTTCACCTTCTTAAAATGGAATATCAAGTCTTAATAGTTTTTCTAGTTTTACAGGTTCTTTTCTTCTTTAGGAAAAAAAAATTTGTGCATTTTAATTCATTTATTTATGGTTATTTTATATATATAACTGGTTCCATCCGTTATCTTTACCAATTCAAAATTCTCAATCGATCGAATAATTCTTGTGTGTGTGTGTGTATATATATACACACACACACACACACACATACAAGAATTATTCGACTTAAATTTTTGCTCCTATATATCAAAACTCATTAATTCAAGATCTTTACACTTTCTAAGAAAGAAAACGTTAAAGGAATTTTTGGGAGGAAAGAAATTAAATAGGATTTTTTTTTATTTACAATTAAAATGAACAAAACTAACAAATATTTGAATTTTATATTTTATTGCGAATATATTCTGAAAAGATGAAAAATTATATAAATAAAACTGTGGGATTGGAATACACCCTTTGCCGAAACCACACGGAAAGAGCACTAAAAGTGGTCAAAAATTTCACAAAAATGCAAATGGATTAAGAAAGAAAGAGTAAAAGAAAATTATGATAAATCAATGGGGGAAAAAAGAAGTGAGTCGACTCAGTGGGTAAGAATAAAGTTACAAGTATTGATACCATGGAATATGAAATGGTAAAGAAGAAAAAGGAGCATGAAAGTTGGATACTCCATGTCGGCTTTCCATAACAAAAATTCTTCAAACAATCTCAGTTAATAGTTGAGATTTTTTTTAAAACCGATTCCTTTAAAAATCTTACTTATAAATTGGTACATAGAAGAAGATTATGGTAAAATTGAAATGACACAACAAATGAGTAAAACGAAAATTTCATTTAAATGAACTACTTATTTAGGTGCGTCTGGAAACAAAAACAAGAACGAAAACATGAAATGAAAGAAAACTTAAGTGATTTAAATATTTTTGCTCGATATAGTCGTGTATAATTTTGAATTGAGAGGGCCATGCATAAATAATCATACTATACATCCAAATTCAAATTCAGACTCAAATTTAGATGGGACACATGTCAACGCATGATTGGACAGTTTGAAAAATTAAAACAAAAACATCCAATCATTTTCTGATTCATTAATCTATCTCTTTACTCCCCTATTTTTAATCCTGGAGAAGTACAAGTATGGCTTTATTCATGCACAAAAATATATTAGTGTTATTTTAACCTTCCAATGTTAATCATTCACCAATGATGGAAGGTTAACTAACTTAGAACAACTAAAAAGCAGCGGTCAAAAAAGTTTTTTGAATTAATCACTTGTATATATGACAAAACAACAACATAAGATGCTTCTAAAGACTGAATAGGACCCATATACATCAAATAATTAGGAATTCAGATAAATCTCCAGCCTAAGGTACAATATCAATAATAATTCTTTTTTCTTACGCTAAAATGTATAAATTAAAAGTTTAAATGGCAAAAGAAAATATTTTTATATATAAAAATTTAATTTTAAACAAGCCATCTATTGCGACTCAAATTTATTGACTCAAATCTAAGTCATATACAATTCATGAATCATATATGGCGAGACTTGACTCGTGTGAACACTGTCTAACTCTGAATATTAACGCAAGTTTATTTTAAATTCTTGTCCAAAATAGGACATAGTCCAATTACTTGTAGAGTCCACTTGATGATGAAACGATCCAATTAATTTAATAATTCAGTGTAAATAAAAGAGAAAATGTGGTGAGATATTAATTAAGAAGAGTAACATGATGATATATTTGCTCAAAATGCAGGATTAACAACTCAAAACCTGATACTGATAGTATAAGTTCCAATTAACGCATAGCATTAATTATACAGATTATGGTAGCCAAAAGTTAGTAATTAACTTCCAAAAGCGAGATCGAAAACCCTAAAACTTACCCTTAATTAGAAGCATGAAGAACGTGTAATTAATAACGAGTATGCATGACATGGATAATTCACCCGAATGGCGAGCCTCTCCCGTGTGCCATGCCACCAGCACTGACGACAGTGTTCATCCTCTCATTTGAAAACGCCGCCCTACGGGGTGAGGGCCGCTCCAGCTTCGCCGCCGCATCAAATTTCTTCTCCCCCATAACCTCACCGGAAAGCATCGGCTTTGTTTCATAAATTTCTGAAACTGAATCGATATCATTCCCTCTATGATCAGTTGACAGCGGTGGAATTTGAATTTGATGATCACCCTTAAAAGGATCATCTTGTGAACCAAGAGATGATGCTGCCGTACCCAATTCTTGCAGCCTCAGATCATCAGACCAAATTAAAGGGCTCTTCCCATTACTGTTGTTATATGGAATAGGCCTTTTTTTGTTGCCCATAAGGAAGGTATCGTTATTCGGCATGAATGCATCAATGGATGATCTGTCCATGCTTTGATGAAGTTCAAGTTGATCACCTCCATAAATGTTGAGATCTTGAAGAGATGGAAAATTCATCGGTCCAAATTCTTTCATGCCTGAAATTTCAGGCACCCCTTGATGATTTCCCATGCCTTTGTAGTTCCCTGAGGCCGCCATGTTTTCGCAGGCTAGTGTTTGGCAAGCTTTCTCCAAAATTGTCTGCATATACTTCCCTTGTGCCTCAATTCTCAGTTGAAGGTGTCTTTGCACCTGTAACATATACGTTTATATATTTTTAGCTCACAAACTATTTTTTTTTTTTGTAAATAAACAATTGTTATATATTTACCTCTAATTGTTCATGCAGTCTTCTATTCACCTCCATTTGCATCCTAATTGCATCAGTAATTTTGCATTATTTTCACTAATAAAATCATACATTCCACAGAAAAACCAAGTCTCAAAAATCCTTTTTTTTCTTATGTGCATGTTTGAGTTTAAACCCCACAAAATATTTCTGTTTAGTAAACCAAAATAAATCCAAGTATATTAAAAAATGAAAGTATTTAAAAATTGAGGTCACGGAAAAGGGGAAAAAGAAGAAGCAAAAACAAACATAAATTAATGCTTACTCGTTCATGTTACGGCCCATCATTCCGGACGACGATGCATTGTTTCTTTGAAGTTCTAGTGACGAAGCTGGAAAATTCGAACAATTCGAATATTAATTACTCTGCAAATTCGTGTAAGCTTGAGATGGATAGTAACAAGACGATATTGAAAAATAAATAAATAAATAAATAAAAATTCAGTCACCTCTCTCACCATCTCTTAGTGAATGATCATTGAACTCCTTGTGAGGCTGCTTTCCCAACCTAAATTTCTAGTAAAAATTGCAAAAGAAATTAAAGAAAAAATACAACCCTAGAAAATGAAAACTGAAAGAGAAACATATCCAGATATCCTTTAATAATTTAATACTAATTACCTGAAGATGGCTCTTGAGATGGTAGAGAGTAAGGCCCTTAACACCCATAACTCTCATGATCGTCTTCGGTGTGGCCTCTACAAAAAAAATAATAATAATAATAATTAAAGAAAATTAAGAAGGATTAGAATAGATAAAGATATGAAAATGGAAAAACAAAAAGTAGTGATGATTTGAAAAGAAGAAAATATACTATCGGGGCCTCCAAGCTGTGTAACAGCATCGACGAATCGTTCATGGAGTTCGACTGTCCACCGGAGGCGAGGCTTTGGATCTGTAGTGAGAACGAGACCTGAGTCTCCTTGAACGCACATGGGCCTTTCATGAGAATTCATAGTTAAAGGCTTCTTTGGATGGAACATTCTCTTCTCTCTCTACTCTCTCTCTCTCTCTCTCTCTCTCTCTCTCTCTAACAACTCCTATGGGAATACAGAGAGATTCAAGAACAAATGCGATGAATATATGGAGAAAAATGTACGGTGCTAGTGCACCAGGCACAAGTTAGCCCTAAAAAGGAAAAAAATGAAATTAAAAATAAATTAATGGTGATTTACTGTGGATAATTAATACACAGTATTCCACTAATTATATACTAGTAACGAAGTATTTTGTTTTAAAATTAAAGCTTTATTTATTTTTTATTTTTTTCTTATTTTGCACATTTAGAGCCCGTTTGAGCCACATTATAATGAGAATGAGAATGTGAAATAGAGCCGTTATGGGCCCCACACCAGATATAGAAATTTAAAAATGGTGGCTTGATGTGATGAATAACGGTCATATTTTTCATTTTAATAAGGTAAAAATGAAGCTCAAACAGAGGCTTAGTTGGAAATTAGGCTACGCCCCTCCTAAGTACATATATGTTACTTAGTATTTTAGTTATTAATAAGAATTGTCACACACAATAATTTAAAACATGCCATGATATTTTTATCTAGTGTTACAATATCTTCACACATTAAACCAAAAAATCGAAGAAAGTAATTATAATATTTTTTATTCTTGGAAAGAAAAAAATATATAAAGGTGCACCTCCATCTAATGTGCCACCCAAACTTTACCAAAAGCTCTCATATACACTGTTATTTTAAATTATTATTTGCATTTTAAAAAAGAATACATACATCTTGTAGTCCTAGCTCTTGTTTTCTAAAATTCATTCATTTTCTTCATATTTTAAATACACATTTCGTGGTACTCATAATTTTTATCACTTTTCAATCACATATTTTATTACCTTTTACTAAAATCTACCGAAAACCTAATATTTAACAAAACCAAAGTGGGACGTAATGTGAATGTGAATGTTCCATAGAAGAATGAGAGACGCAGACGATAGATATATTCATTATATGGATAATAGTCCCTTGTTTGTCTATAATTAATTCAAAAAAAATATCAAACTCGTTTTTAGCCATCCATTCTCGCAATAAGATATTTTGTACGTATATTCAAAATTTTTTCTTATTTTTTAATTACACGTTTTTCAAAAAATTACTGTTGAAAATTTTATTTTCCTACTTTATTGATAGACAAACGGGGGCATAATATGAACGTAGGTGTAAGGTGTATCTACGTAGGATTGTACAGCTTTTATTATCACCAAAAGTAGAGTACATGATTGCAGAACTGTTTATTCCTCTAATCTGTGAAGCTTCTTTTCTTTGGGTATGTAAATGTTGATACTTTTGTGGGGGCAGTGCATGCAATGATGATATAGCTACTGAAGATTGCACTTTAAGCTTCTGCAATTGTATTCTGCTCTATAATCATATCAAAATCTTGCATTAATGAAGCATAGTTCTTTTGTTGTCTGTCGTGGTACGACTCCTTTTTAGCTCATTATTATCCTTAACCTTGTTCACAGTACTCAACTTCTGTAGGGTTACTGACTCTGGCTAGTAAGAGAGCTGCTTGTCTCAATAGACAAGACACATATATGCACACTAGAATTTCATTTTCATTGAACTAATAGTCCTCCTATCTGAGTCTCGTTCTTTAAAATTTTATTTTTACACTAAATTTAAAACTTTTTACTATTATCTGATAACATATTCTCCAAAAAAATAATTATTATAAAACTCATTTGCACAAAAAATTGAGCTCCAATAGAGCCACAGTGAAATATTGGAAAATAAAAATGATTCTCGTCAAATTCTACCGTTGGTTGTATTACAATTCTGATACTATGTCAACTATCGTATTTGAAAGTATAAATTTTTAGAGAAGACGTGTTGGTTCAAATCTCATTGTCTTCGATAAGATGTAATCCCATATTTCTCGTATTACAAGCTCAGTTTTTACTTTTGATTGGTGTATACCAGACAAGTAAATAATTATTTATAAGAAAATAAATTATTATGATATACGTTGATTCTTCAAATCGCAATATATCAATCTAATTACAAACTTTAAACATTTTTAGTCACGGACTATAACATCGTACAACACATTTAACTAATTAGACACTCGTAAGTTTATATATACAAGACGGTCATTTTCGAATTCTCATTCCAAAACTTATAGAGATAAATTAAGACACTTGCTTTATAATACAATTGGAATTTAAATACCATATATGTCCACAAAATTTTGAAATCGGGTGGGAATAGTGGTCAATAAAAGTTTGAGAACGTGAACAGATATATGAATGCAATAAAGTGAAAAATAAATATACTTCTTTTCTCATGTAAAGACTCTAGGGCTCAATCTCTAGTGCTTTTGTGGAATAGAAGATTGTCCTGCCATGCATGTGCCATCACATCACCCCACATTTACATCAATACATACAGACAAATCAGAGTTAGCCCCCATGAACTTGTCACCGGTCCATGTTTATGATATCCCCCACTCATTAATAATCAACATGATTATCTAATAATTAACAAAATATGCATCTTTTTCTGAAATTTGGATAGCTGCATTCATGTTTATTACGTTAAATCAAGTTGAATTTGACAGTGCATAACTAGGAAAGTCAGTCGGATACATGGTTTGTTTCGTGAAAAACTAGACGTTATTAAAAAATAAAAAATAAAAAATATTGTATATCAAACATATACAAGGTATTAGTCCATTTTTCTTGTAGTAAAATATGCATGTTCGACGGATGCAGAAGAGACACGTCAAGATTTTAGATGTTTGAAGAAGAACCTCATATAACGCACCTTTTACTCGAAAGGAATAAATTCTTCCTTCATTGACAACCAAAGGAAAGATTCTTGCCACAAAGCTGTTAATTTTCTTATAATTATCTTACCTAATCATATTTATTAGAAATCTAACTCGAGTTTCATCTTTTCAAAGATTTGGCAATAATGGTCCTATGTTCACAAATTCTCAGGCGCTTTGCATCAAAAACAGTGAAAAACTATTAAAAACTAAATTAATCAAAGTTAGACACCTACAAGTACTCAGAGATCTGTCTCCAATAAAATTGAATCCTTTACCTCTTGGCACATTCCAGGCCATTAGAGGAAAAAAAAAAAGAATTAATTAATTGATTAATTAATAATTAATAAATTATGTTTAATTAGAATATCATATTCAACTAGCTGTCCAATTTCAAAAGTTGTTCAAGATAAAGGTGTGGCTTAACTTTTAGTAGTTATAATTTGTTTCTAAACCATAAATTAATTCTAGTACAAAAGCAGGGTGGAATGGATATTGGGACATGTTTGCTTAAATTTTAAGCATCTTAATATGCTTTTGGGAATTTATTCCTAATAATGAATATATTCCTTTGTGGTGAATTTGTGGGACCATATTCCTCTTAACACTCTACCTTTACTAGTCTTTCTCCTTAATTTTCTTTTTATCATCAAGTTACTTAATATGGAAATACTTACATACAACCCCACCCCCACGCTACCCCATGTACACAGTACATGCCAACTACAGATCTTGAATTAATCTACTTGTACAATTGTTGTTGATAATAATGGATGACAAGATTAATGTTGTCAAAATTTGATCCATTAATTTTAAAAACGGGTTTTGAAATGGATAAATATGATGTTGACAAGTATGATTGTCAATCATTATTGTAAAAAATGATTGCACAAGTAGCATGATTGTTTATCTTTCATTAGTTCAAGTTACATTTGAGTTATATTTTTGAATTTATTTCATCCCAATTTTGCCAGATAATCATCGACTGGTTTAAGGATATAGCGCTCTTTTGTAACCATGAGAGTTTAATATGTAAGAGAGATTGTATAATCGAAGCAATTTTCACGTAGTTGATAAATGACTTTGGCAATCCATAGTTTTTCTTTGATTTTAATTTTTTTTTTTTCAATCAATAATGATGTTCCTTCTGTTATTCTTTATGTTCATTTTTTTTTCCCGATATATATATTGGTTATAGAAAATATTAAATTTTATTTCAGTAATGAGTGTAGTTGACAGCCCACAATTTGTGCCGAGTCAACTCGAGTTTCATCAACATTGACTCACTGGTTGGTAAGGAATCTGATTCGTGCAGGACCATCTGATTTTTGAAGCTACTGTCCCCTTTTTATCTCAAAAGCCAAAAACTTCGAGCAGTTCTTGAAAGCGCTAATTGCTAGATCGATCCCAGTTGCAAACCTTTTTTCTAATAAGTTAAATAATATTCCCATATCCTTGAAAAAAAAAGAGAAAATAACTAAAATAGAACTAAGAATAGGCAAAATGGCAAATCTAACCTTAGGAAGAAGTCATAAATTTCAGCCTTCCACCAAACAAAGAGTGATATTCCATGTCCAAAATTCCAAAGCGCTAATTGCTAGATCGATCCCAGTTGCAAACCTTTTTTCTAATAAGTTAAATAATATTCCCATATCCTTGAAAAAAAAAAGAGAAAATAACTAAAATAGAACTAAGAATAGGCAAAATGGCAAATCTAACCTTAGGAAGAAGTCATAAATTTCAGCCTTCCACCAAACAAAGAGTGATATTCCATGTCCAAAATTCCAAAAAAAAAAAAGAGAGAGAAAGAAAATCCTCTTACAACCAGCCCACCAGGCCAAATGGTACTTATTCTGTTGTACAAGGATCTCAAAAAAGCCAATCTGAACCAGGTTATCAACTCCCAAACACCGGTTTTTTGCTGCGGAGTATGATCCATAGTCTCCCAAATAGCTAGCCAACATCGTGCTAGTGAATAAGTCAATGGAAAATGGGACATGTGCATGGATTACACCAGGCTAAATAAGGCATGCCCAAAGGACCATATCGCTTCCCTGAATAGACCACCTGGTGGACGCCACATCAAGTCATGAAAAGCTCAGCTTCTTAGATGCGTTCTCCGGATATCATCAAAAAAAAATCGAGAAAACGAAGATGCTACCCCTTGTCGAAAAACATCGACAAGGAATAAAAGGCTGGTGATATCGGATGGCATAGATAACTCCCTATAATAATGAGCAAGGTAAGGCATTATACACT